ATCTCTGTTGCTATGGAAACCCTGTGAGACCCTAGATGCTGCACCTAACCAATTCTGCTGCCAGGGAAAGAACTGACTTGTGATCCTCCCCTGTTACATGGGAGCAGTGCAAGAGGAGTTTGCAGCTCTGGGGTACTGAAGTCACATGTTTAGACCGCTACATAGGGGCAGGTTGTTTATAGGGAACGGGGTCAAATAAGAAGCACCTTGTAGGGCTCCTTCCTTTGCTGGGCCACCACTTTGGGCCATGGGATGGTTAAAATTCAGTCAAAGAGGACTGGGATACCAGCTGGCCAGAAGGACAAGAGCCAATGCACTGGCTTTGGCTGGTTCGCAGGGGATTGGCCAAAGTGGGTGTGTTTTGGGAATTTCAATTAAAGAAATGCACTTGAGATTGAGAAATTGTTCCCCTGAAGCTGTCCATGAATCCCTGGGGTGGAGGCAGATCCTTGGGCAATCAGTGAAATGAGGGTGATTAGCCCTGGAACCTAGGAGTGGGCCCCATGCCCTAGGAGAGGCCAATTTTGAAGTCTCAAATCTCTAAACGTGGTGAGTTAAATGTTTGAAACTAACTTGTGTGGAAACACAGAATTGAAGGAACAGCAAACTGAACACTCCCAAGGGAGGGGGAGGAAGAAAACAGCCTATCTGCAAAAATTCCAAAAGCAAGAAATTAAACGTGTAGATTCAGTGGCCACTTGCAGCGAGACCCTTGTTACAGGTTGGGTCCTCCAGAGATCAGACTGAGTTATTGTGCAAGGTAGGGTGTCTGCTGGGAAGTACCTTTCAGCTTGACCCCTGTGGAAGGGAGGGAAAGAATCAAAACAGGACGGGTTTCTCCACTCGTTCCAGAGAGAGTTCAGGAGCTGGAATGAACCATCAGAGCTGTCCCCCTTTGGAGTAAAGTGGCCCAGCCCTCCTATTCCCACCCAGATTTGTCAGTGAATTAGGGCCACCCGCAGGCTGCACACCATGGGCAAGGGGCTCCCCTGCAACCGAGAGGTAACCCCTGACAGCACCTGCAGATAGCCCTGCCAGCAGCTGGAGCGTCTTGAAGGCAGATCCATCCAGCACACTCTGCCCATCACAATACATTTCCTGGACACTTACACTCCATGCGCCCCAAAGTTCTCACCCGCTACTTCTCCCTTAATTTCTTCCTGATGGCCTAAGAGGATTGGGGTACAGGCTGAGAGGATGTGAAGAGCCCCATCTAAGGGACCTAATAGTGCTCAAAGTTATGACATTTTATAGCATTCTTCGTGTGATTGATTTTTAGTTTCAATGGCCAGAAAAGATGGTTGATAATTTCAATCTTCTTTAATTCATTAAGACTTGTTTTGTGGCCTAACACACAGTCTGTCCTGGTGAATGTTCCACGTGCCCTTGAGAAGAATGTGTGTTGTTGCTTTTGGATGAAAGGCTCCATATATACCCAAATCCATCTGATCTAACATATCACGTAAGGGTGATGTTTCCTTATTGATTTGTGTCTGGATGATATATCTCCGTTGATGTAAGTGGAATACTAAAGTCCCCTACTATTACTGTACTGCTATTTCTCTCTTCAGGCCTGTTAATATTTGCTTTATGGATTTAGGTGCTATGTTGTGTGCATACATATTTACATGTTACATCGTCTTATTAGATTGACTTCCTTATCTCATTTAACACATTTCTTTGTCTCTTATTAGTCTTTGCTTTAAAGTTGACTTTGTCCAGGGGCACCTGGGTGGCTCAGTGGTTGATCATCTGCCTTTGGCTCAGGGCGTGACCCCTGGGGCCTGGGATTGAGTCCTGCAGGGAGCCTGCTTCTCCCTCTGCCTCTCTGTGTCTCTCATGAATAAATAAAATCTTTTAAAAAAAATAATAAAGTTGATTTTGTCCAGAATTAAGTATAGACACCTCCAGTCTTTAAGTAAGCACTCAAAAACTATGTAAGAAAAAAGGTGCGGAAAAAAAAAAGTGCACCAGAAGGTTAATAAAAATATTATTTTCCAGGATCCTGCCACATTTACAGTATTTCTTAAATATACGTTCGCTTTCCTCCTTCTGTAACGGTAATCTGGTGGTGTCCTCTTGGATTCCCGGGGTCCTAAGTGCGCACGCCCCGGGGGGCCACCCCCCTTCCCCGCCCCGCAACCACCCAGACATCTCAAGTGCACAACTAAGAATCATCCGTATTTCGCAGGATTCTGTTTATTTTTATTTTTTTTAATAAATTAATTTTTATTGGTGTTCAATTTACCAACATACAGAATAACACCCAGTGCTCATCCCGTCAAGTGTCCCCCTCAGTGCCCGTCACCCATTCACCCCCCACCCCCCGCCCTCCTCCCCCTCCACCACCCCTAGTTCGGGATTCTGTTTAGAAGACCCTGCACCAAAGAATGAAACTAGACCACTCTCTTGCACCAGACACAAAAATAAACTCAAAATGGATGAAAGATCTAAATGTGAGACAAGATTCCATCAAAATCCTAGAGGAGAACACAGGCAACACCCTTTTTGAACTTGGCCACAGCAACTTCTTGCAAGATACATCCACAAAGGCAAAAGAAACAAAAGCAAAAATGAACTATTGGGACTTTATCAAGATAAGAAGCTTTTGCACAGCAAAGGATACAGTCAACAAAACTACAAGACAACCTACAGAATGGGAGAAGATATTTGCAAATGACCTGTCAGATGCAGGGCTAGTTTCCAAGATCTATAAAGAACTTATTAAACTCAACAGCAAAGAAACAAACAATCCAATCCTGAAATGGGCAAAAGACATGAAGAGAAATCTCACAGAGGAAGACACAGACATGGCCAACATGCACATGAGAAAATGCTCCGCATCACTTGCCATCAGGGAAATACAAATCAAAACCACAATGAGATCCCACCTCACACCAGTGAGAATGGGGAAAATTAACAAGGCAGGAAACCACAAATGGAGAGGTTTTGGAGAGGATGCGGAGAAAAGGGAACCCTCTTGCACTGTTGGTGGGAATGTGAACTGGTGCAGCCACTCTGGAAAACTGTGTGGAGGTTCCTCAAAGAGTTAAAAATAGACCTGCCCTACGACCCAGCAATTGCACTGTTAGGGATTTACCCCAACGATTCAGATGCAATGAAACGCTGGGACACCTGCACCCCGATGTTTCTAGCAGCCATGTCCACAATAGCCAAACTGTGGAAGGAGCCTCGGTGTCCATGGAAAGATGAATGGATAAAGAAGATGTGGTCTATGTATACAATGGAATATTCCTCAGCCATTAGAAACGACAAATACCCACCATTTGCTTCAACGTGGATGGAACTGGAGGGTATTATGCTGAGTGAAGTAAGTCAATCGGAGAAGGACAAACATTATATGGTCTCATTTATTTGGGGAATATAAATAATAGTGAAAGGGAATAGAAGGGAAGGGAGAAGAAATGGGTAGGAAATATCAGAAAGGGAGACAGAACATAAAGACTCCTAACTCTGGGAAACGAGCTGGGGGTGGTGGAAGGGGAGGAGGGCGGGGGTGGGGGTGAGTGGGTGACGGGCACTGACGGGGACACTTGACGGGATGAGCACTGGGTGTTATTCTGTATGTTGGTAAATTGAACACCAATAAAAATTAATTTATTAAAAAAAAAGAATATGAAAACATTTACTTCCAACAAAAAGAACATAGGGGTATTCACCCAGCATTATCTACAATACACAAAATGTGGAAACAAGCTAAATGTCCATAAAATGATGAATGGATAAAAAATAAGATATGTATCCACAATGGAATACTACTTAGCCATAAAAGGATGAAATCTTGCCATTTGTGACAGCAAATGGGGTATTATACTAAGTAAGATAAATTGGAAGGAGAAAAATAAATAAATATGATTTAACTCATGTGGGATCTAAAAATAATAAAACAAGCAAACAAATAAAACAAAAACAAACTCATAGATATGGAGATTGGATTGGTGCTTACCAGAGGTTAAGGGAGTTAGACAATAGGAGAAAGAGGTGAAGGGATAAATTGTAGGGTGATGGGTGGTAACTAGATATTTAGGGAGGCTCACTTTGTGTGTACACATATGTAAAATTATATATAATTTTTATATGTAAATCGTATAACTGAAATTTACATTTTAAAATATATATATTGCATGTCTTCTAGGCAGAAATCCTGTCCATGGCAGGTTGCTGTGTAATTCATTTGAGCATCTGTATTGTGTCTTATTCATGCTATTGTAATAGACATACTAATTACAAAATGCTCACCAAAAAAAAAGAGAAAAAATAATCCTGCTATTCATGAAGCTATGTGTATTTTTGTGCAACTGTATACCACAATGAGATATCACCCTATACCTTTTATCTTTTAGAATATGAAAAGCTTTTCCTCTAAAAGACCAGGAACAACACAAGAATGTTCACCCTCACCACTTTTATTCAACACACTATTGGAAGTCCTAGCCATGACAATTATTATTTTTTTAGCCATGACAATTATTAACAAAAATGAAATAAAAGCTATTCAATTAAAAAAGGAAGAAGCGAAAAAAAAAAAAAGGAAGAAGCGAACTGTTAATACTTGCAGATGATATGATATACATATAGAAAACTCTAAAATCCCCTCTCCTGTCCGTGTATATATTTAAATCATATTGCTACTGTATAAGTATAGAAATAAATATTTCCTTAATGGTAAAAAAAAAAAAAAAAAAAAAAAAAAAAAAAAAAAAGGACCCTGCACCTGCAGCGCCAGCACAGCCTGCATCCGGCGCAGGCGCAGTGGCGGACCCCACCCCCTCCTTTTCGCCCCTGCGCGGGCGGGGCGGGGCCGAAAACTCGGCAGCGGATTGGCCGGAAGAAAGATGCGCAAACGCGTTTGAAAGGCCCAATCAGCGCCCGGCCTCTCTGCACCAGCCAATAGGCAGCCGGAAGGCAGGCAGAGGGGGCGGGAGTCGCTATTTGAACCGGGGGCGCGGGAGGAGCCTCGGTCCCGCTTCCTGCTGCAGTGGGCGGCGGGTGTCGGCGGGCCATGGAGGGCCAGCTCCGCGGGGAGGACAGGCTGCTGTGGCAGCTCCGGGACAGCCGCTGCCGCTTCCAGAGGCACATGCAGCGGCTGATAGAGAAGGTGGGCCCCCCCCACCCGGCCCAGTGGAGGAGGGGCGGCGGGGCGCCAGGACGTTGGGGGAGCCCGAGCGCGGGGGCGGCGGGGCGGAAGGGGAAGGGGGGACGGGAGTGGAGAGGAGGACGCGGGCCTGGGGGGGCTGGGGTAAGGAGGGGGGCGGAGGGGGCAGGGGGAGGTTGGGGGAGTGGGGTAAGGAGGGGGGCGGAGGGGGCAGGGGGAGGTTGGGGGAGTGGGGTAAGGAGGGGGCGGAGGGGGCAGGGGGAGGTTGGGGGAGTGGGGTAAGGAGGGGGCGGAGGGGCAGGGGGAGATTGGGGGAGTGGGGTAAGGAGGGGGCGGAGGGGCAGGGGGAGATTGGGGGAGTGGGGTAAGGAGGGGGCGGAGGGGCAGGGGGAGATTGGGGGAGTGGGGTAAGGAGGGGGCGGAGGGGGCAGGGGGAGGTTGGGGGACTGGGGTAAGAAGGGGGCGGAGGGGCAGGGGGAGATTGGGGGAGTGGGGTAAGGAGGGGGGCGGAGGGGGCAGGGGGAGGTTGGGGGAGTGGGGTAAGGAGGGGCGGAGGGGGCAGGGGGAGGTTGGGGAGTGGGGTAAGGAGGGGGGCGGAGGGGGCAGGGGGAGGTTGGGGGAGTGGGGTAAGGAGGGGGGCGGAGGGGGCAGGGGGAGGTTGGGGGAGTGGGGTAAGAAGGGGGCGGAGGGGCAGGGGGAGATTGGGGGAGTGGGGTAAGGAGGGGGCGGAGGGGCAGGGGGAGATTGGGGGAGTGGGGTAAGGAGGGGGCAGGGGGAGGTTGGGGGACTGGGGTAAGAAGGGGGCGGAGGGGGCAGGGGGAGGTTGGGGGACTGGGGTAAGAAGGGCGGAGGGGCAGGGGGAGATTGGGGGGCTGGGGTAAGAAGGGAGGCGGAGGGGCAGAAGGGGTGGGGGGAGACAGGAGTGGAGAGGAGGATGTGGGCCTAGGGGGGCGGAAGGGGCAGGGGGAGCTTGGAGGGCTCGGGTAAGGAGGGGGGCGGAGGGGCGGAATGGGGGGCAGACAGGAGTGGAGAGGAGGAGGCCGGCCTGGGGGTGCTGGGGGGAGGTGGTTGGTGGGCGAGAGGGAAGGAGGCCAGTCGGGGGCTCCTCCGGCGGCCCCTCGAACCTGAGGGATGCCCCTTTCTCTCCCGCAGTACAACCAGCCCTTCGAGGATGCCCCGCTGGTGCAGATGTCCACGCTGACCTATGAGACACCCCAGGGTAAGGAGTCCTCCCCTCCTCCTGCATATTTACAATGTGAACAGAGTAGCACCTTTCCAGAGTCTGCAGTGCTCTCCTTGCTCTCTTAGGAAAGTAAACTTGGTTCTCCTAGTAAGGAACTAAAATCTGACTAGTTCCTTGAACCTAGAAATGACTTAAATTACTTCTTTCCGGCAGAATTACTTACTAAAACAGAATTCCGCAGGTGCATAGATGCCTGCTGGCTGGAAATGCCCCCGCCTGGCCACGTGTCCAGTCATGGGCTGGTTGCCTTAACAGTGCAGGGGTGGCGGCCTTTCTTCGGCTGTCAAACGGGAAGATGATACCATCTGCTTGACGGGGATGTTTTAAGTTGCATGAATGTGCTTGTGGAGCTCTTGGAACAGGGCCCGGCCCTAGTAAATGCGTCCAGTGACTTCCATTTGACCCATTTGACTTGGAGTATTAACTGAGCCACCCCCACTTGTGGCAGGAATTGTTGACCATAGGGTGTAGCATGTAGCTGACACTCCCACACTGATTATTAGGAAGACCGTTGGGGAGTAACGAACAGTTGTTCACCTGTGTTGACAGCTAACCGTGTGTCCTGTGCTTCTGAGAATCTCATGTGTTTGATTCTCAACAACCCGTTGAAGCAGGTACTGTTCTTAGGGTCGTTGTTTTATAGCAAGAGGTTCAGGAACTAGCCCCATGTCGCTCAGCCAAACTGGCAAAGCCTTGACTGGACTTAGCACATTGGCTCAGCGTCACTCTGTCCCGGAAAGGCCACATGGCTTAGTGGTCAGGAGCACAGAGAGCCACTCCCCTGGGTTCGCAGCCTGGCCCCACCACTTAGCTGAGCAGCCTGGGCTTGGTTACTTAACCTACTTCTTGCCTCTGTGTCTCCATCTGCGCATGAACTTGGTGAGTGCCTACACCCTAGGGAGTTAGGAGTACTCTACACGGTCCATAAACGTGAGCTGTCAATACTAAATACAGTGTACATGCAAAGTGTTTAGAGCCTGGAACACTGCAAGCACCCTGTCAACGCTTGCTGCTGGTATCGTGTTAGCAACCATCTCAACCCAGGGATCCCTTCTTACTCACTTTGAATTTACCTGGGGGCAAGTGGAGGTTTAGGGAGGGACTAAGCATTCTTGCCCAGGTTCTGCTAGCTAGTAAGTGGCGGGACGCCCACATCTCAGTGTTCACCCCCGTGCTTAGGCCTTGCTCCGTACGTACAGATTGTCCTCAGAAAGCACTCCCTGTGCGGGGTATGCGGTAGAGAGATTGCCCTCAAAAAGTGCTCCCGGGCTATATGTAGTACGTAGATTGCTCTCCAGTTACATACTGTGAGGACGGTACTCGGCAGTTGTATGTTCCTTGTTCCCGTTTGACTCTGGCTTAACGATAGAATTGAATGAACTCCTGCCTACGAGGTAGGAAAGTTTCATTAATAACAGATTTTTGTCCAACCTTAATTTCAAAAAAAAAAAAAAAAAAAAACTTCAACCTCACAAAGATGAAAAACAACAGAATATCTCACAAGGTGACTTGCTTTCAGTGTTACACCTTTTTTTTTTTTTTTTCTTCTGCCCATCTCTGGTTCTCTTTGAATGCAGATTGGAGGGAAATTTCACAGTCATGATTACTTAGGTGGTAATTTTTATTTTATGTCTTTTCTGAAGGATTGAGAATTTGGGGAGGAGGACTGGTAAAGGAGACAAACAAAGGACAAATCCAGGTACTTAACGTCAAATCATACCTCTCACACGCACTGCCGTGCACGCATATGGATGTGAATTAAGGTGTGGGTCAGCTGTGGCTGCACCAGGAGCCTTTCGAGGTCCCCGGTGGGGGGGGGGGGGGGCTGATCTCTGGCTTGTCAGGTACCAGGAGGAGCTGACCCTGTTTCCTCTGCTGTGGACTGAGGGGCTCTTGACAACAGGGTGCCTCCCCCCACCCTTGCAGGGCTGGCCAGCAGGAGAAACCCACCCCTGCCCCAGCAGGAGCTTACTTTGTTGGATTCTTACAGGAAAGACCCAACCCAGTTTCACTGAGGAAAGAAACCTGCCTCTTTTCTCTTCTGCTAGGGGAAGAGATTAGGAAGAGGGTTCTGGGTCACGCACTTCTCTCCCCGCCTAAGCTACCTTCCAAAAGCCAAGGGTGGTTTTTCCCGAATCTGGCCATGGACACTGGCGAGGTGGCCTTGTATGTTCACAGGAGGAGCCAGTACAGCTTGCCTTCCCCCTGGGAGACCCACAGTGTTGCTGCAGTAATTTTTGCAAGGATGTCCGGTATTCCCTTACTGCTTCCCAGCCAGGAATCCAGTACCCCAGAATGAAAACATCAGGGTTAGAATTCCCCAAGCCTTTTTTTTTTTTAACAGCAATTCTGAAATAAAATTTCTTCCCGATTAGTCTCATCACACACATAATGCATTTAGTTGTAGAAATCTTAGAAATACACGTAACTATTAATCAACCCGACTTCCTTCGTCACTAATGATATTTTAGTATAATGTAATTCCTGTTTATAATACACGTGTTTTTTTACCCTCTTTTTTTCCACATACGTGTTCACATACACATTGTGAACCTTTCTTTTTCATCATCCACTGTATAATTCAATTACCTTTTTAAAAAAACAGCTCTTGTAGATAGTTAGCTGTTTGCCCCTTCCTTTCTTATTAATCAAGATCGGCACACTTCAGGTGAAGGGCCAGGTGATAAGTATCTCAGGCTTTGGGGGCCATGTGGTCACAGCTGCTCTGCTCTGTATTGTGAGGGGAAGGCTGCCGTATGCCCTATGTAAACGGGCAGGCATGGCTGTGTTCCTGTGAAACCTTATTTATAAGACACCTGTTACAGATACTCCTCAGAGGACCATCCTTGTCTCTTCCCATTGCTGATACTACGCCTTATTAATAGGTGCCAGGAGGTAGGATTATTAGGTCAAAGGATTTGCATCCTAAATTTCGTGTAGTAATGATGCCCACCGATCAGACTGGTGCTTGAATGGCCCAGGTAGCAAGGTGCTTCCATTTGGACATTTATTTAAGGTTTTTGCTTAAAATGTAGGAGCGTCCCTGCCTGGGGTCTATAGAATTTTAAGCTCCTAGGATTAGGAAACTGGGCGCCACCTGTGCTGACCACTCAGATGTCTGCAGTCCCCGGAAGTTACTATGAGTGACTGTGCCCGAATCTGCCTTCTTTTCCCAGACACCCAGATAGTCTGCTGCCCACACCCCACCCCCCCAACACACACACCCCTGAGATGCCTGCCTGGAGGCTGTAGGAGGCCGTCAGCCACAGTGGGCTGTGGATGTGTCGACCTGTCAGTTTGGTCCTGACACAAGGCCCGGATTCTCTTTGAAGCCCCCAGAGCTTCTGGTCATCAGGGGTCATCCCCCATGGGCCGCCTCCCCACAATTCTCAAATCAAGTTCCCCCTCACTTCCAGACACAGCAGCCCACGGAGCAGCCCTGCAGACTCCACAGGTCCCTCCTGTGTGTTGTCCTAGGTGACCCAGTCCCTCCTTACCTGAGCCAAAGGGGGCGACATTCCCAAGGCAAGGTTCCTCTACCTCCTGGTGTTCACAGACAGGCACAAATTCCCCTGATCCTGAGGTGACACCCAGGGATCATCCCTGAAGGGACAGGCCTCACCGTGTTCTCATTCCTGTCCCTACAAGGTGACACGGTTCCTTAGATCCTTTGGCCAACCTGGTGTCTCGAATATTCAAGTTGCACTAATGAGAACCCATTGAGGGCATTCATCAGGATTGTCAGCGAGGCCAGGGGTACAGGCCTGGTGTGGAGAGCGGAACACGGCCCTCCCGCCACCCCCGCGGGGTGTGTCCCATCACGAGGGCTGACTGCCCCTGAGAACTGACTTCCTCCTGCACAGGGTCACAGAAAGTCCCCCAGGCGCCTCTCAGATTTCTGGGTTCTACTTGCGGACCTAGTGCCAAGGCTGGCCTGTGGCCTTTTGGTTTGTGTTGTCGCCCCCCTGGGCCAGGGTCTGGCCCCTGCATTCCCGCCCTTGCTTCTGCTTCCCCTGCTCTGCCCCTCATCCGAGGGGCTCTGGGAGGAGCAGCCCAGGCCACAGCCAGAGGAAGAAAGCTGTTCCCCCTGAGGGGAACCTCTGCACCCGCCTCGGGGCCCGTTATGCGGGAAAGTGCTAGGAGAGAAGCCTGTGAAACCCTGTTCTCTCAGACCCTAAAGGAAGGATTGTAGGGTTGGTACTGCACAGTGGCCTTGGAGTGTGTCGTGACTGAATCGGGCCTGTCTTTATCCACTTCCTGATTTTGAGGACTCCCTGGTGGAGTGGGTCAGCCGGAGTGGCGGCAGCCCCGAGGGAGCCAGCGCCCAACGCCCGAGGCTTCCCGTGTCCTGCGCACAAGGCCTGGGAGCGGGTGAGTGTCCCTGAGCCAGGCTGCGGGGTCGGGGGTGGGGGCTTGCATCCCAGTCCCAGCATTTAAATCCCAGATCCCCCCACTCTGACTTCTCCCCGAAGCTATATTAAAAGCGAGAGCATCTTAAAGTGCCTGCCACTTCCTTCTGTGCTCCCCAAAACAGCCGTCTTGCTCCTTTACCCCCATGGTACTTGACACCTGAACAGCACTCAGACATTCCTGAATAACAGACACACACTCTCCCATTAATTAGTTTCTTAACTTATTGCCCCCCCCTTTAAAAAAAAATTAATCTCAGGAATTTCACAAGACTTCAGATTTGCCCCCACAGGGCGGTGTTTGAACTGCTGACTTCCGTGCGATGTCTTCTTTCCCTCTTCCTTGTTCTCGGAGGGGCCTCCCCTCCTGCCTCAGGCCAGTCTCACTGCCCAGACCTCTACCCAGCCTGTTCTGGGGGAACCTGCTGATCCCCGCCATCAGTGCATGGGGGCACTAGTCACTGTGGCTGTTCAAATTAATTGAAAATTAAAAATTAAGTTCCCCAGCCTCACAAGCCACATTCCAAGTGTTCACCAGCCTGTGGCCAGCGGTTGGCCTACCAGGCAACAGGTGGGAACTTTACATCATCACAGGATAGGTCTGTGGTGGTAGCGACTCAGCTCCTGGTATCAGAGCCGTTGAAGGAGCTCAAGGGGACACAGTGCTTCTCCGGGGGCACCTGGGTGGCTCAGTTGGTTAAGCGTCTGCCTTCAGCTCAGGTCATGATCTCAGGGTCCTGGGATCAAGTCCCACATTGGGCTCCCTGCTCGCCGGGGAGCCTGCTTCTCCCTTTCCCTCTGCCCTTCCCCTGCTTGTCCCCTCTCTCTCAAATGAATAAATAAAATTTTAAAAATAAATAAATAGGGATGCCTGGGTGGCTCAGTGGTTGAGCATCTGCTGTCGGCTTGGGGCGTGATCCCAGGGTGCCGGGATCAAGTCCCATATCGGGCTCCTTGCATGGACCCTGCTTCTCCTGTCTTTGCCTCTCTCTCTGTGTCTTTCATGAATAAATAAATAAAATCTAATCAATCAACCTGCTTCTCTGGTTTCCACCACTTGAGGCATAGTCCCGTTCTGATGAGTTTGTTGCATTACTAGTAATCAGACCAACAGATGGCTATGTCCTAGTTAAAGGGAGAACTCTAGAACATACTCTAGTGGTGCAAAAAGTATCCTTAAGAGGAAAATGCTAGCTTTCTTTAAAATTCTCACTGAGATTTCCTTTTTTCGCTTTTAGATTCAAACAACAATGATGATGCGTCTTTCTATCAGGAAGATGTGATTGCTGGGTCCTTCATGGTAAGCCCTGCCTGTTGGAATGAAGGAACCGAGCTGGAGATCGGGGTGCAAACGCACATCCTCATTTCCAATGTCTGTCTTGTCCTCTTTGGAGGCTCGCTCTTTGGCTAATAGCGCCCCTCACGTCTCTGGTCCTCCTCCTGTCTAGCGTGCAACAGCCATTACTGCCTCCAGTCCAAGCCCAATTTCCTGAACATGCATACATGTTGGGATGGAACAGTCACAATTTGCAGTGTGCCCTTACCCTTGACCGAGCACACCGTACTGAAAGTTAGGTTCTACGTTGGTCTTTGTCCGGACAGGCAATGTCAGGAGGAGGTTGTTTCTGGGAAATATTTCCAGCTCAGCCCTTGGAAGCCCATGTGGGCCCATGTGAGGTCCTGTAATCAGGCCACTGCTCTGCCTCCCAGAATGCCCCCGTGGTCCCAGAAACCACCTGTCCTCCCCACCTGTCAGGATCTGATCTCACCTTCCCTCCATCGGAATACAGAACTTCGTCTAGCGGGCGCCTTTCCTGGCCCAAATCAGACACTACGATAGCCAGTGTGAGGTTTTTCTCTAAAATTGCTCTTTTTGTGCAGAGTTGGCCCATTTACCCAATGTGTGACTTCTAGTGTCTAACTAGAATAAGGTAGTGACCCTGGAGGATTGGAGGGGGTGCCTTCTGAAGTAGGACACAGAGGTGGCCCCAGCAATAAGGAGCATCCTGAACCACGTGTGTGTGTGTTTGTGTGTGTGTGTCTGTGTCTGTGAGAGAGAGAGAGAGAGATCCCCCACCTGCCTCCCACTCAGCTGCAGAACAAAGGTCAAGACCCCAGGTACCTGGTGCGGTGGGCGGCGGGCGGGGGAGGGCACGGAGAGCTGGTGCCTCCTGCCTCCCGAGCCAAACTGCTGAGCATCTTGTCTTAGAAACATACTGATGGAGGCTAACTCTAATAGTTGAGCCCTGGACTCACCTAAGAACATTCAGATTGTTTTCAATTATTTTCTTTTTTTCTTTTCTTTTTTGTTTTTGATCTTTTTTTTTTTTTTTTTTTTTACTTTCTTGGGGATTGTTGCCACTGGGTACGTTATCTAAAGTTCCATTTCTGGGTCAGGTGGCTTTTCAGAGGGCCTGGACCACTTTGCGGTGCCATCTGTGGAACTTCATTTACTGATGCGTGATGAACCAACTTGCTGGTTTGTTCTAGAATCCAAGAGCACATCCAGACCCCAGAGCTCTTAAGAATACTGATTGTCTTTTCTATCAGCCTGCAGCGCCTTGGAGCCCTTTGAAAAATGAGTTAAGGAGGAAATACTTGACCCAAGTGGATATACTGCTGCAGGACGAAGGCTGGTCAGAGGTAACGTGCTTCCCGGGATGTATCTTCATATAATCGAATCCCTAAGACACATCAAGGTCCACTAATCAGGTTTTTTTTTTGTTCACTCTCCATGGAGCTTGTTTACTCTTCATGGAGCCTGTAAGGAGCCTTGCGAGCAAGTTTTTAACCCATTTCATTCGTGGCCTTGCAGACTTCCGTTCTTGAGGAAGCGCTCTGGGTCCTCCGGGGCAGCGGCGATCAGGGAAGCTCGTGGGGTGCGCCCTCATGGCCCACTGTTCTGGGGCAGCTCACAGAAATGTAGAGGGCCCCGCCCCCCCTTGGGGGCAGTGACGGGGGAGTGACGGCTCCCACCCCCTGCTGCTCTGGTGTGACCGGGGCTGGCACTGGCAGCAGGGTCCCCACTGCACCTGGTGTGAGGTGTGGGCAGCCCCGCTGGGCCCTCGCAGCGTGGATGCCCGCCACACTCCACTGCAGCCGTCTGTCAGAGCTTGGCCTGACAAAGAGCAAGAACACCAGCTCTATTTTCTAAGTTCTGATAAAGTCTGATAAAGGACGTTTTCATACCAAATAACTAGGAGGCACGTGTCGTGGGATGAGTAATTTATCTCAAAGGCAGCAAACCTCACAGGAACATAGACTTTTTCTCACTGTGCTGCTGACCAGTGAGGAGGCTGTGTCTGAGGACCACTGACTTGGCGAATGTACTGGAAAAGGCCTTCCCTTTATCCCAGGGCAGCGGGGGCGTCCTGGCAGGTGCGTGGTGGCAGTGGTTCCCTGGGGGCCCCCTGGGGACCACGTCGACCAAGCTCCCTGATTGTCCTAAGACACTTCTTCCCACCACCGCTGGAGGCCGTGGCCACTGTGAGTGCAGTCATGCTTGTCACCTCTGCGGCCGCGCTCAGATGCACAGCCTGTGGTTGGCGAGGAGTGGCTCCTCACACCATCCCTCCCCGCACGGCACTGGCCATGGGGGGCATCTTAGGGCGCCTCCACGTGGTGATTATGTTAGAACCCTGTGCTTTGATTTCAGCGCACTGATGGAGATGGAGAGGACGCCCATGTGACGCTGATCCCTTCGTCAGCCTTACCTGCCACACCTGCCCATGGTGAGTGTGACATAGAACTTTTGCATGAACTGTGTCCCTCGTTCAGAGCCACGGCGCCCCTCAGAGCAGCGCCCTTAACACTGGGCACCCTTTTGCTCTCGTTCATGTTTCATGGACATAAACTGTTAGAGACAGCAAATTATTCATATTTAACCAATGAACTGCTTTTTTTCCTCTGGGATTCCAGCATGCTAATTGCTGCTGTGAAACTTTTTGATTTTCCAGAAACACAGGACTCCCACAGTGAACCTCCTTTGCTGACACGTAACAATCCACATTATGTGGCATTTGCGTATCCGTGCTGCACCCATGCTCACACACGATGTGCACCGACCTGCACTCACATATGTGCTGCTGGTCTCCTAAGAACAGGGAGCCCCCACAGCCGCGGTAGGCCCGGCACACGCCAGGAGGCCCCTGGGCCGTGTGTGCTGTCACCGTCGGCACCTTTCCTATCACGACTTCCCTGAATAGTCCTGTCCACTGATAATTTTCCAGAATGTCCCTCAGTTTGGACTTCTCTGGACATTCTCAAGGTTAAGTTCGGGTTAAACATTTTTGGCACAAATACTACATAGGTGATGATGTGTTCTCCGAGGACATCCCGTCTCTCTGTCCCGTTGTTGGAGATGCATAAGCCTGGGCACTTAGCCAAGGAAGGATCCCCCAGGTTTCTCCCTCCCCCAGAGTTGTCTGGGTGCCCCCTTGAGATCACTTGGGTCCCCACAATCCTCACATCCCATGGTTTGGGCGTCAGGCCACAACTCCCACCTGAATCCTGCTGCAAAGCCACATTTTTCTGGTCCTGCCATTCCTCCCATGTGCACCTGTTGGTGTTGTTGCATATATATTTGAAGTGCTCAAAACCCGTCAGTTTTGAGCACTTCATCCCCTCACCCCGGCTCCAGCCCCGCTGATCCCCAGCACCAAAACCCTGTGTTCATCTGGTTGGTCGTGCAGCGTGGAGCCGTTTGGAGTCACGGCCCCTGACACCACTTGCCGACAACCTGCTAAGGAAGGTTCCGGAGTTCCAAGCAGCTCTTTGATCCTCAGACCGTATCCCTCTGAGGTTACGCGTTCAGAATATTGTGTTCAAAGTCATTTGGATTCTTTTTCCTCTTTCCGTTATTTATTTGATATGCACCTGGGTCCTTTCTGCGTCTGTTTTTTGCTTTTAGGGTTCTCCTTATCTTTGGTTTAATTTTCTTTCTTTCTTTCTTTTTTTTTTTTTTAAGGTTTTATTTTTTTATTCATGAGAGACACAGAGGCAGAGACACAGGCAGGGGGAGAAGGAGGCTCCCTGTGGGGAGCCCGATGTGAGACTCGATCCCAGGACCCCAGGATCATGACCTGAGATGAAGGCAGACGCTCAACCACTGAGCCACCCAGGCGTCCCTTAATATTATTTCTTAAATACATAACAGATTTAACATGATGTGAAAGTTAAGTCTGCATGAAGATCTGTCTCGGGAGCCCTGTGCCTTCCCCTGCTTCCCCAGCCCCGCAGGTAAACAGTGTCACTGTTTTGTTTCTAGTGAGACTTTGAAAAGGCATCCAGTGTGTAAACCATCACCTGGGGAAGGAAGGCCCCTCTAGGGAAGTTTGGGTTTAAGTTTGGTAGCTAGAAAGAAAGCTCTGAGAAGAATCTATTCCCACATTCTCCTGGACTTTCTGTCTTGGTTTTTGTATTGCTTAAAAACAGCGTCATGGTCATGATCCACCCTCCTTTATTTGCGTGGTCTCTGCAGATCATCACTTTGTGTATGTTTTCCTCCAGGGTGCTGTGACGTGTCTGGAGAGAGTCCTGGCGACCCAGCTGAGCCAGCTTCATGTCCCAGAGAGTGTGATCCTTCATGCCCCTGCTCGGCAGATCTGGCCCTGGTGCCTAGAAGCGACAGTCTCTGGCTACACGGGGCCGGGGGGAGCAGCTTCTCAAGCAGCCCACCCCTTGAGGCCGACAACATCTGTGACGTGACGATCAGCGACCTGTACGCAGGCATGCTGCACTCCATGAGCCGGCTGCTGAGCACAAAGCCGTCGTGCATCATCTCCACCAAAACCTCGTTCATCGCTCACAGCTGGAACTCCAGGCGGAGGCACAAGTGTAAGAGCAGAATGAACAGGACGCGTTGCCGGGGAGCCGGGCCCTCTCGGAGGGATCCCCAGGACAGACTCCCTCCCTGTTCTGAGCCAGGGAAGAATAGGGAAGTGTTAAGAGATTGTGAGAACATACTAGATGCTTCTGGCCAGAAAGCAGATTTAAAAATGGAAAAAGCTTTTCCTAAAGTAAACAAACTCAAGGTCTGCAAATTAGATCCAAGTTGGAGGGAGTTTAAGGGGCTAAGGAGTTCAATGTCCCAGAGGAGTTCTTCGATGACTTACGGAGATGCCAGGGCAGTGCGTTGTCTTGATCAGGAAAATAGATTCATGGCATTAAAATGGTTAATTTCTCCTGTAAAAGTCCTTTCCAGACCAGGAGTACTGCCAGGCAAGGGAGGGAATCGTTACAGGGAAATTGAAATCAAATTTGATAAGCTTCATCAGGAATATTGCCCCAGCCCCGGGAAGCAGCCCTGCCTGACTGCCCCCCCGGGACCCTTGGCTGTGGCCATGTACAGGGGTGGCCCAGCAAGCCCTCGCGGCCCCCAGGGCTTAGAAACCCGCAGGCTCAGCGGGCTTTTCGGCAGAGCTGAAGCCAAGAGGTCAAATGAGGCTTTTGAGGACCTGGGTGAAGGAGCTATTGGAGCAGGGAGACGCCTGCAGAGGAGGAGCTCCCCTCCCTCGCTTCCAGAGACCAGCTCCGCGCAGAGTCTCAGCCGCTCTGAGCAGACGCTGGACCTTCTTTCTCAAGGAAACAATCTTGGGATACTTGGAAAGTCACTATCCCCCGGCAGAACTAGCTCAGTAGCAAGGGTACTGCCTCTAAGCTGCGGAAGGGATCGTTACAGTGAAATAAAAGAAAAATTTGACAAGCTTCATCGAGAGTATTGCCAGAAATCACCGAAGCAGACCCAGGCGCCTTTACGTATCGGAGCACCTCCAGAGAGATCAAGTGTGGAAGTCCCGTATCCAGAAGGAGGCATCTTAGAAAAATTGAACCCAGACTCTGGCTTCCAGGGTCCCCCAAAGCTGTCAGCATCACCCCAGCGGAGCAGAGAAAGTACGCCGGGCTCAACCACACTCGAGTGCTTCATGCTCATGGCCAGTAGGGCCCACCAGTCCCCTCCAAAGAAACGCCAGTCATCAGACTCCCTGCTGTATGGACAGTGGGCCAGTTCCCCGGATTCGTCGCGTGTGGTGGGCCAGGCCACCCTGAGGCAGAGCGAAAGCCCAGGCCTCGCCAGCCCCCCTGGGAAAAGAAGGTGCGTTTCTGTTGGTTGAATGTGGGTGTTTTGCAATAGGATTCTTCTGCATTCAGTTTCCAAGCTTTCTCCCAAATCCTTTTCCTTCCTCTGAAACGAGCATTTATACCAAGAGCACGTTCGTGTGTAAGACGCATCGAGGTGGAGCCAAAAATGTTCCGACCAGGAACGTCTTACACCTTTCCCGCCGGAGTGCGTTCAGGGGTCTTCTCTGAAAAGCCTCACTGGCGCGCTGCGTGGCCTCGTCAGGCTGTCCTCCCAGCCTCTCCTGGCCTCAGGCAGCAGCTGCCACAAAGCTGATCTGGAAATAGTGACTTTCCTTCTATTTCTGGATTCCTTCCTGGGGACAGCGGGAGCGGCCTGCTGGGCCCCGCGCTCCTGCCCTGCCCACGACCTCCGTGCTCCACGGGGAGGTCCGTCTGCTGTCCTGCCTCGGCCTACGCTTGGGTTTGTGCGGACCCCTCAGTGATACGCGTGTGCCGCTCTCTTTTCTCCAGAGAAGCGTGGGGAGGGGGCGTTGCACATCACGGCGGGTTGTTCACCTGTTTCACATGAGCGCCAGGCTTTCCAGCGTGCACTTCAGTGTATCCCCAGGCCGGGATTCAGACACGTGACTCCTCGAGTGCACGTTTGGGGGTTTGTGCATTGGTGGTGTGGGCAGGTGAGGCCGTGTAGACGGCTTCCTCCTCCCTCCTGGGCGGTCGTTCAGATGGACCCCGTGTGCCCTGGACGCCCCGTGTTCTCTTTGTGCCGTGATCCCATCCCAGGGGCAGGTGCTTTTCTCTCAGAGATAAGCCCCAAGTTGTCACTGTCACCACCCCTCAGACCCCACAGGTCCTTCTCTGCCTTTGCTTACACTTCTCAGCGTTCAGACCCACACGGCTCCCCTCGGAGAATATTTGCAAAAACCTTGCAGTGCCTTGGCCACAGCAGAGGCTGGGTGCAGGAGCCAGCTGCCTCCTCCGAGTGAGCACAACGTGTAGGTGGCCACCCCTGCTCCTGCGGCTCCGTCAAGGTCAGGGTCAGAATCCTGGTCTGGTCTTTCTTCCTTCTTCCACGTCTTGGGCTGCTCCTGTTTTCTCCACCTACCATCTGGCTTGTGCTCCCCGAAGCCGCTCCCGCCACCAGCACGTCCCGTGGCCTTAGCCAGGCGGGTGGTAGCCTTTGTCAGATTAACCAGACCTGCATTGTGATTGATCTTTCTGGTCAAGGATTGAGGTCCGGGGCCTTGGTGAGGCCAGACACGGAGCTGGAGCAGAAAGGGAGGGGGCCGCCCACGCCCCAGGAGGCCCTCCCCCAATAGCACGAGGTCCTTTCCCTTTCTTCTGGGCCTTGTGCTCTTTGCCTGCACCCACCTCACACCAGGCCCTCAGCAGGGTAAGTGGGAGCCACGGGGAGTCCTGTGGGGTCGAGGCTTTCAGGGACCATGGCAGGGACTCCAAGGAGACTTGAGGGCGGGTACCAGTGACCCTACAGGATGACCTCCCTTCTCAGTTGAGAGGGGTTGTCACGAAGGCAGCGCCTCAAGTGAGAGCCATTCCCGGGGTCCCCCAGCCCCTGACCCGTCAGATGTCAGAGCTCCCTTGTCCGCTGGCCCCGCTCGTCCAAGCCTGCACCTGCTCCTGCAGTGTCCGTCCGGCTCCTCAGGCTCAACTCTGGCTTTTCCCACCTCGTCCCCAGATTTGCTTGCAGGTCACGCCGCCTGCTGGCTCAGCCCCTGGAGCCCAGCGGGTCGCTCCCCGGCCCTCTTCTGGCTCACCAGCACCTGACCCACCTTCCCACCTCAGGAGATCCCCCTTCTGGATGCCTGGCTCTCTCTTCTCGTTCACCTGCCCAGCAAGGGGCCTGGAGCAGGGACGGCCCACCAAGGTCACAGCCATGAGCAGTGCCTTCTGCCTGGCATTGGAGCACCTGGAGGAGGACTCAGCCCTCTGTGGGGCCCTCGGGGCGCCCCTGGAATTTGATAAGTCGTGGTGGCCGCCCCCTGGACGCCTTTTGCAGTTTCGTCTTAAAACTGTGATACAAACATCCTTAACCATTTTCCACATTTTTCCTTGTTTTCCTACTTAAATTACAAATGTCTTGAGGAAAGGGACCAAAGCTTCATGAGCTGTGACTACAGAAGGAATTTTAATGGCTAACATCTGGGTGCCAGGCTGTAGAGAACGTTCTTAATCCGTGCACGAACCCTTTGATAGAAGGGTTTCATCCAACAGGCGGGTTCTGTCTCTTACAAATAAGGGAATGTAGCTGAAGCCTCATAAGTCCTGGGTTCACCCGGGTGTCGGGGGCCAGGCCAGCATTCGAAGGCCGTGGGTGTAACCGCCCGCTTGCCCTGCTGCCCGGGAGCGGGTTACCATCAGGTGGGGTTTCACATCCTTTCCCCTTTACTGTCTAGTGGACGCACAAACATGCGATACAAAACAGTTCTGCTTTTGATGGCTTGGGAATTCTAATGGAATTTTACTGAAACTATTTTCATTCTTTTTTCTTCTAAAGGAAAGAACACATCTTTCAAGATGGAAGAGAAAAGTGACTTTGTATTAGAGAAATTGAAAGCTGAAGACGTATAGCCCAGTTATTTTAGAGAGTTGTCCATCTTCCCCCTTCCTGTGTGTGTGTGTGTTTTTAATCCTCAAGAATATGTGAGAACTGGCTTCACTTAACTGCCCTTCAAAGCAAATGTCAGTGAAACTGATCCCATTGAAATGACTCTTTGAGTTCTTGGTATAGAAGTTATTTGAATAAAGTTACTCGATTAAAATTTTTCACGTGACCTTTATAGGCCTGTGTTCCTCCTGTGTTCTTTTTAAAATATAGACACGTCCTCGGGATGCTCTTCATTCCTGTTTGGTTAGAGAACCTCCTTTGCTCTGAAACTCATGTAAGCCACAGAGACGATGGTTTAAGGTTTAAATTCAGAGCCAAAGGCTTGGTCTCTTCCACATTAGCGGGTAGCAAATTGAAACAGTAACCCTGAAAAGTAATTCCTGACATCATAATGTTAGCTGGAAGTGTGCCCAGACAGTCCTGGGATGGTCCCCCACCTCACAGCCACGTGGCGTCCCTGACATCTCAGATTTTCATTGGCGCTGCTTATAATCAGGTACCACGGTGACTTTTTAAATATTTCACATTCAGAGCACAGGGACAGCCCATGCATTGCCATGTGTGGCAGACTTTTAAATAAAAGGTCAAAAATGGGGATCCCTGGGTGGCGCAGCGGTTTGGCGCCTGCCTTTGGCCCAGGGCGCGATCCTGGAGACCCGGGATCGAATCCCACGTCGGGCTCCCGGTGCATGGAGCCTGCTTCTCCCTCTGCCTGTGTCTCTGCCTCTCTCTCTCATTCTATGTGACTATCATAAGTTAAAAAAAAAAAAAAAGGTCAAAAATGAGATTAAATTCTGCACGCCTTTCCTCCCTGTCCCCTTCTCCTGATTCTGATGGTTCCCTTTCCACCGACGCCTTCATGCCAGGACATCACCTCTGCATGAATCAGCTCAAGCTGCCTTAACAGAATAAATCCCACAGACCGGGTGCCCAAGCAGCAGAAATGTATTTTGCACAGTTCTGGAGGCCAGAAGTGGGTGCCCGGACAGTTGGCTCTGCTGAGGGCCCTCTTCGTGCAGGCCCCGCCCTCGGGACCTCACCTGAACTTGATCACCCCCCAAAGGCCCTACTTTAGGTACCATCACATCAGGGTTAGGGCCTCCATGTGTGAATTTTGGGGGTTTGCATTCAGTCCTGAGAGCCGTGAATCAGAAGACCTGCGCTGAGAACCTGCCAGGAGCCTTACCCCTCGCAGGCAGCTTATCCTTCCTTGGCACAGACCCCTGGGATGCTAGACCTTTCCTTCGTGCCTGCACCTTGTTAAAAGGAGCATGACCCATCCTTTGCTCTTGGTCAGAAAAAATATCCTTACCCACAACTGTGCCTTGTCACACCACCACCACCGTCCCTGAGCACGCATGCACACACACACACACAGGACACTACAGGCGATGCGTGGGATGGTCTGTGTATTCTCTGCAGCTTGGTTTCACCAAGAGGTGTTTGCCCTTGACAGGAGCTGATGGATGTGGGTGTCTCGTATTTCAAGAGTCTAGGCAGCTGGTTTCCTCCACGCTCCTGCTGGGTGTCTGCTGCTACAGACGCACGCAGCCGTGATCCTTGAGCACGGGCACGGGCTCCCCTGCAGCAGACCTCTAGCGGTGAGTTGGTCGTGGATGCCGGTGTCGTGGATATGTGTGTCTTCAGCTTCCCCTAATGATCGCCAACTTACCCTCCCAAATAGCTCTTCCAGTTTGTCCAGCAACAGAAGAGATCCCATGACCCCCCTGCTGCCACCAGTCGGTGCCAGGCCGGTGGAGGTGGGGAGTGTGTGCGAAACACCTTGCACTTTGCATTTCTGGGGTACTGCCTTTTCAAGGGTCCTCTCAGGACTCTCCTTTTTTTAAAATATTTTATTTATTTATTCATAAGAGACAGAGAGGCAGAGAGAGAGAGAGGCAGAGAGAAGCAGGCTCCATGCAGGAAGCCCAACGTGCAACTTGATCCCGGGTCTCCAGGATCAGGCCCTGGAAAGAAGCACCCCAGTATCATCCCCGGCCAGTGGCCACTCCTCCCCACCCCCGCACCACTAGGGCACTAACACCCTGGCTGGGCCCTCCTTACTTGGGTCACAGTCCCCCACATCAGACACCTCTTTTCCCTTCAAGAATGGGGTCCTGGGGGGCAGAGGCTGTGCGGCAGCCTGCCTCCTCTCGCTGATTGGCACAGGGCTGGGTGGCACTGAACAAGGGTGGATTCTGACCCCCTGGGCTGAAGGGGCAGTCTGACACCCGCACGCTCCCGGGAAGCAGGAATAAAACCAGCTCCCTTGGGACTAAACCCCCCCCCCCCCAGTCTGGGCTCTGAGATGTTGTCACCTGACAGTCAGGAATCTGCACTCGCAATGACAATGGGGGTTTATTTCAAGGGGGAGGAAAGAAAGGGACACTGATTATTTTAGAATGATGCTTTTCTTAACTAAATTAAAAATATTTTTGTATTGCCGTGCTCCAGCTGCAGCCTGGCCCTCCAAGGACGCAGTTTACACTTTACACTCGAACCACCTAGCAAAATCCTCCGGATGAAGCCAAAAGCAGGTGCTGACTACACGTATCCAAGATTCTGAGGGTCTCCAGGGCTGCCCTCCGGACCCCGGGATCCGAGTCCAGCTGCAGCTCCTGGAGAGCTGAGAGTGAGCAGACACGGGACACAATCAGGACCCAGCTCGGCCACCCCCTCCTTCCCGGGGGCCGCTGAGCCACTGGAAGGCCCCCTGCTCCCGGCAAGCCACCATCCGCACAGCGCGGGGCTCCCGCGGGCTGAGGAAGGGGAACCCCTGTGTTTGCAGCCAGGAGACAGCAGGTGGAGCTGTGTCTGCACACACGTCCCCCCATCTGGGCCTTCTGCTAGCCTCTAGGGGGGACACAAAGATCACCCACAGAACCCGAGCTCCATGCGGATCAGTGGAAGGAATCAGGGAGGATGCATTTTGCAAATATTTGTGATGGGGAGCCGGGCAGAAGGCCTGGGGTACGGAAGGACTCCACACCCAAATAGTTGTCTTCCTGGGAAGCCCCTGTGCAGGGCCTGACTACACAAGGAAGGGTCGGCTGGCTCTTCCCCCAGGGGTCTCTCGAAGTTTCCCCAGATGAGGTTAGCCGTCTCTACTACTCACAGTCCCGCAATGCCGGAAAGTCCAGTTTTTTCAGATGATGCGCAGACATCTGCTTCATAATAACGCCTGGAACGAGAGCGAGGGGAAATGCCCAGCTCACAAATATTAGGGCAGCGAGAGATTCCCTTTCACCTTTTGAGACAATCTGTGTAGGGCTCCGCTGAAGATGCTGAAGTGAGAATCAGCCAGATGCGGAGCACGGTGGGATAGGACACCGAGAAGGGGGGCTGGCCCCTACTCTGCTGCCTGCCCCCCTCCCGCTCCAGGCCCCGGGTTCGGGCCCTCCCGCAGCCGGAGACCTCTGCTCGCTCGCCCACCTGCCAGGTCGCACGCAGCGCTTCTGATCCTTGGCGAGTTGCTACTAACATGGGTCATTGTTTCTAGCAAGAAGCTGTAGAGCACAGCGGGTTTTTTCTGAGTCTGCAAAAGACAAAGGATGAACGGAGCCATGGGGACGAGGCCCTAGCGATCGGCTGCTCACGGAGCGCGTTCCCATCTGTCTGACGCAGGAGGGGCTAGTGCCCATCCCAGCATCACACAGCAAGTAGCTGGACAACTGAGGGACCTTCGGACCCTGGTGCATCGTCTGACCCAGAGAAGAGATGACATTGTCTACAAACCGCGTGGCCGTCCAATACTGTGGCCCTCTGGCCGCGTGTGGCCCTCGAGCACTTGAAATGTGACTAGTCTGAATTAAGTATAAGGAGTCTCCTGCATTTTGAGGACAGAAACTCAAAAAAGGAAAATATCACATTAATAATGTGCACATTGATTACATGTTGAAATGACAACGGTTTGGGTCCACTGGGTTAAGTAAACTCTCTTATTCAATCTGGTGTCACGTCTTTCACTTTTCCTAACGTGGCTACCAGAAAACGTACGGGCGTGAGGCTTGCATCCTGTGTCTGTTGGACGGGGCTGCTCTGGAGGCTTCAGGTCCGGCAGGTGAGCACCAGGTCACCGATGGAAGCCTGTGGCGGCCGCGACCCTAAGCCCCAACCCCAGGGCAGCCACCTCCAGCAGGCCCAGGGCCCTCGGCTTCCTCACCAGGATGGAGCAGAGCGTTGTCTGGAGGACGGTCATCTCGTCGGCCGTGCTGCTGTCACTGCGGCCTGAGCTGCGTTCCGGCGCCTTCCAGCCCCAGAAGTGTGCACACTGAAACACGGTAGCCACGCAGGCCTGGGGGACCATGGGGCACAGGATGGAGGGAGGGCGTCAGGCAGACCGAGGGGCTCGCGGGGCCCGGGGTGGGGGTGGCAGGGCTGACGTTCCACCCGTGGGCCAGAGGGCAGCCCCGGGAAAGCCTCAGGGAGCCATGGAAGGGTACCCGGGACCAGAGCCCTCCGTGTGCATTTATGGAAAACCCATGGGAGGCGGATGCAGCCCACTTGCACCCTCAGCCAGCACCTCCGTGCCCTGGGCAGCCCTGCCTGGGACCCACGGCTCCGGGATGTTGGGGACATCGGGGTCAGGAGCCTGGCCGGGACTGGTAGGACCAGGCAGAGCTTTCTCATCCCCAGACCCTCGCTGAGCACTGAGCCACCAGGGCCCCTGGCATCTGGCCTCCAGCGGGTGTAGGCCACAGGAGGGGACGACAGGAGGCTGCGGGGCGGGAGAGGCTGGGCTATCCATTCCCAGGGACAGGAGTGGCAGCAGTGTGGCTGGGACCAGCCCTGGGGCTCGCCTCCCCTTGGTGACTCTGCCCTGGCCCCTCCTGGCTGCTCCTTCCATCACCTTCCAGAAGCACGCCCCACAGGGCAGTCGCCATACAGTGTGAGCCACTGATGGATTTGTGAGGAAAGCATCTCTGAGAGGTGACAGTTCCCAGCCAGGTTTTCCAGTGTCCCCGAGGGAGAGCAGGTGTCGGGAGCGTGCCGCAGGATGCCCCTCACTGACCTAGGGGAGCCCCCAGCCCCCCCACGCCGGGTGGACACCTACAGCCCTCGCAACAGCAGGATTCTTGGGACCCCAGGGCCGGAGACCATGGTACTAGCTGAGCATGAGCACCCCAGTCCACGGCAGGGAGACAGAGGTCCGGGTCACCGCCTGCGTGGTGC